GAGGCATGGGACTTAGCAGTTCATAGATGGGGTCTATAGATTTTAAAGTCTGAGACAAGAAGGCTGTGGGAAGATCAAGGATGAATTCCTTGGATCTGCAAATAGAATAGGTGAGGAGAAATTGTAGAATCTGAGAAAACACAAGAATTTGAACAAGGAAGGAAATACATTAGGAAAAGAAATAACCAGGGATAGATTTTAGGCACGCATGCAGCCTCTCACACATTCCGTCCACAAATCGCCCAGTGTTTGCCCTTCTTTCACTCTGCCCCACATTCTAACACTTAAGCCCATATCAACCCTGATTACTCAAGCTGGGCATTTTCCCATTTTTTTTGTGATTTTTGTTTGTTTGGTGGCTGGCCAATACTGGGATCTGAACTCTTGACCTTTTTGTTATCAGCACCGCTATCTTCCAAGTGAGCAAACCAGCCAGTGCTAGTTCCCTTTTAAGAGGAACTTCAGTGTAGCAAAAACTTTGATAAACCTATGTACAGAACTACCTGCCTAGTCCGCTTCAGAAATCAGACAAGGAAAGGCAGAGTTCATGTCCTCCGCACACAGACACACTGACCAAATTACTAAAATTTGATTTAATAGACAGATGGATGGGTTAATGGAACATGGGAATTTCTGGGCAGTTAATTATCAGACACTGCAAGTGTAAATTGGCACAAGGATTAAGAAATGCACCTACCCTTTGACCCTACTATTTTATTTGCATATACACAGTAGGGCACTTTTTCTAATTGTGTAATGCAATGCATTGAAACTCACAAATTACTTTATTGGATGAGAACAAACATCTTTTAATGGTTTCAAAGAAAATTACCATATCAATTTGTTGTTTAATACATTTAAAATAAAATACAAATATAATTTTTTCATACTTTAAAATGCCTCTTTTAGGGCCGGCCCGTGGCTCACTCGGGAGAGTGCGGTGCTGTTAACACCAAGGCCACGGGTTCGGATCCCTATATAGGGATGGCCGGTTGGCTCACTGGCTGAGCGTGGTGCTGACAACACCAAGTCAAGGGTTAAGATCCCCTTACCGATCATCTTTAAAAAAAATAAATAATAATAAAATAAAATAAAATGCCTCTTTTAAAAATAGAAGTGGGTTCTCCAACAGGTATACCTGGCCCCCATTTGAATATCTCCATTCTTACCACAATGTCTCAGGTTGTCAGACAAAGATTTAATACAAAATTAGAATTCTTCATCACTATTACGTGGGCAGAGACCAGTCTTGATCCAACAAGGCCTGGCCTCCTGGTAACAGGACTTCCAGCTGTGAAAATAAACAAACTTACCTCCTTTGGTTCCTAAATTAGGGCCCCACAGTCTTCTGGGAAATGTAGTCTCGCTGACCATTGTCAACAGAGGCACTGGACTATAGGAAAAACTTTCCTTCTCTGCGCATGTGCAGCTTCTCTCTCTCTTTCTCTCTCTCTCTCTCTCTCTCTCTCTTCTCTCTGTCCTCTCTCTCATAGGAAAAACTTTCCTTCTCTGCGCATGTGCAGCTTCTCTCTCTCTTTCTCTCTCTCTCTCTCTCTCTCTCTCTTCTCTCTGTCCTCTCTCTCATAGGAAAAACTTTCCTTCTCTGCGCATGTGCAGCTTCTCTCTCTCTCTCTCTCTCTCTCTCTCTCTCTCTCTCTTCTCTCTGTCCTCTCTCTCATAGGAAAAACTTTCCTTCTCTGCGCATGTGCAGCTTCTCTCTCTCTTTCTCTCTCTCTCTCTTGCCCGTTAACATCGCAGGCACCGGTGTACTTCTGCCCCTGCGCATCCTCACTCACTGCGCCATGTGGGAAATGTAGTTTTGCCCAGCAACGACGTTACCCTCAGAGGACTACTACGGGACAGGCTTTTCCGTAATTCTCCTGCGCATGTGCTGCTCCGCCCACTCCGCCATGTTTTTGTCTGGAACTTCCGGTCGCTTTTGCCATCCCGGCGCTGCGTCTCAGAGCCTGGGTTTGGATTGTACCTCCCTGAAGGTGGGTGTGAGGGTGAAAGAGGAGCCCCCAGGCCTCCGGACCCTGGGGAGCAGGACGGGTGTCCCGGCACTTGTTGGGCAGAAGCGCCGCGGGCCTGGGGCGGGCGGGGCCTGACGTGCGGCGCGAGCGCGGACCTGGGCCGGCCGGGGAAGGGGCACCCGGGCTGCGCTTTCCACGACGGCTCCGTCAGAGGACGGCGCTGCCGGAAGGCGGGCGTGCGCTGCCGGGTGTGCAGAAGCCGGTTCCAGGTGTCCCAGAACGGGGGCTCAGGTCCAAGTGGCCACAGGAACGTGGGTGGGGCGTGTGAAGACAGCGAGCCTGGGAGGTGTGCGGGAGGCCACGTTCCAGCTCCGCCGTCAGGGTTCCTGGTACCGACCTATGGGACATTCACTTTACCCATCTGTGACATGCGCGTGTTGACGTTAGTGTAATGTCCCCATATTCTCGTAGAAATAATTGTGAGGTGTGTGCAGACTGTTACCCTGGCAGTTGTGTTGTGGGGTTTCCTGATGTCTCTTCAGCAAGTCAAGCTTCTAGTCCCTCCTGCACTGTACGGCCTGCCTAGCGCTCCAGGTTTGGGTTCACAGAAGTCGATACAACACCTAGTTTTCAGGGATAGTGACTTAGGAGGGACATTGGGGCATGGGAGGACATTCTGGTTTTCTCTGGGGTACAGGAGCTGTGACAGAGTTTGAAGGAGGACCCCCTATGAATAGGATTCCCACCTGGGAGAACATCACTGTGGCCTGAACCCTCTCAGGACTGCTTCAGAGCAGAGGCAGAGGAGTCCCAGAAAGGCGTAGCTTTCACAGCCCACGCAGTTATTCAGTCTAGTGCTTACAGTGCGCAAGAGTTGGCCGATAATACCTCATTCAGTAGCTACCTGAGACTAGGTGGTATTGGAAGTTTTGCGCCAACTTTCAAAAGGGACAGTGAGTTTGAGGAGCATAAGCAAGGACCTAGGAAATATTACTATCAAAAGGAGCATTAAGGTGTTCCGTGGGGTGCAGGAGTAATGTGTCATAGCTGGAAGGATCTGTCTGCAGTGCTCTCTGAACACACTCCTATTCCTTCAATCTTCCCTCATTACTCCCAGTGTCAGGGCTCTCTCAAATCCAGCCTATCACAAATTTTGGCATTGAGAGATATGCTTATGGTTTTATATCTTCGTAGTTTTTTTTCTAGTAATTCGGGAATGGCTTGTCAGTTATTTCTACTTTGTCAGAAAGGTGAAAATAATTAGATTTTAGGAACTGTGATTTGCCCAAGGCCACATGATTTGTTGATGTTAGGTATCATGACTTTTTGGCGATTGTTCTCTCTCTTTGCCACACTTCTGACAAAGAAAGTGTTCACACTTGACATTATTTTTGTAATGCTGAAGTCAACTTAGAGCAGCCATTGCTTTACCATACATTGCCTTAAACATCCCTGTCCTTTTTTTTTTAATATCCAGTGCCTTCTGTGGATCATGTCACCACAAAGTAAATAACATTAAGTATTTCCAACTTAATGTTAATATTCTGTTCTTGAAAATCAAAAATATTGCAGATATATATGTAGGACCCAATTTTACATTACTTAAATAGGAAAATGACAATACTAGTGTGCTTTAGAAACTTCAGGGAGAGATTGTTTTCACTTTTAATTATCTTTTTCCATGAACTTTTGAAAGTACCTTGGTACAGTTCACTACTAACTTATAAGAAACAGATCCTTTTTATGTTTTTAAAGTAAAAAACCTCTGTAAGATATAAAAATAAAAATAGAAAATCTTATACCATAGTTTACTGATGTGTAAACAATTGCTTTTTATGATTCACACGGCCTCTGTTAGCATCAGGAACCTCAATGAAGTTCTTTTAGTTGACATTCATTGTAATTTTTAAAACTTCTTCTTGTGGTTGTGAAGGTATATTGATTGTATTTGATATGAAATTTAAGACTTTCTCGCCCGCATAATTTTGTTCAAAACATATTGAGTTCTGGGGGCTTAGATGTATCATTTAGCATTTGCCATGTCATGAACAAATCAAAACCCAAATGTCTTTTTAAAAACTCAGCCATTTTATTATCTTGAAGTTCTAGGAATCCACATTTTGAGTTTGTTTAACTAGACAGTTCTCATGCTAGTGTTGCCTGGATTAAAAATTCAGCTTTAGTCACCCTGTGCCTTGACTGAGGCTGCTTGGTTCAAGATGGTTTCACTCACATGTGCTGTGGTTTGTGCTGACAATTGGCTGGGGCCTGTGTCTCCAAAAGTGTAGCCCCAGGCTTCTTAACACTATGATTGTGTTTAAGAATGCAAGCACTAGTGGCTATTACTTATCAAACAATCAAACATGTTTGCGTGACATTTTCTAATGTGCCATTGGCCAAAGCAAGTCACATAGCAAAGCCCAGTTCATTGTCAGAGCATGCTATATAAGGGTTTAGGTATAGGGAGATCCATCACTGGGTAACATTACAGGGATAGAGTACCAAAAGGAATATACATTATGTATTTTTTACCTGTATAATGACAGGCAAAAGGTGTTGGATTGCAATATATGTACTATACAGATACTTAGGTATGTATAAATAAGATATCTTATAGTGGAAACAGTTACCTAGAGTCGTGTGTGGAGTCATTATATTAATGTGAGTATAGTTACTATAGCCTAACTATATTTCTGTAACATTAGTTTTAGTAATGTCACAATGTGTTTTTCTTTGATTTAAATGGTGAAGTTATATGTTTAGGTAACGTTGATTCTTGCTAAATCAATAGGCAATGTATGTTTTCATTAATCAAAAAAAATTGTGTCTAATGTGTACCAATTAACATACTTGTAGATGCACGTTTAATGAGTGTTGCACCTTATTGATGATAAAGGATTGTTGTCTCACAGGGAGGCTTTGTGTTAGTTTGTCTCTTCCAGCTAATGTGTAGAGAGTTTTGGCAGGAGAATCAAGGGCCAAACCACAACACTTTCCTCCTTAATCCACTCCATTCTCTTCTCTCCCAGCTGAGCTGCCATAGTGCCCTATGCATTATCAAGAGCAAGAAATGATGAATAAATCTCTGGTGAGTTGTCTGTTTATTTATTTCTCATTTTTCCCATTGTATTACCTGGGTATTATGGGGAGCATGAATTGAAATGGAAAAGTAGAAATGAGTAAGACTCAGCTTGATGGAAATGTACATATGTAAGATAGAGTTTGCATGTAGGTTTAGTAAGTTATGAGATCTCAGAGTCATCTAAGTTGAGTAAATATTTGTCTCTGGTCTTTCTGATGTCATAGCAAAAAGGCAGATACTACTTTTACATGATTGGAATGGAATATGAGAAAAGAATATGCCAAATTCTCATGGGAGATGAAGATTTACTGGCACTAAATTCTGAAATACCGTCTCTATTAGAAACTTTTTGGCTGCCACCTGGTAAATAAATATTTTTAGCTTTCTGCAGTGGAAATGGTTAGCAAGTGCTAAGGCATATGTTACTTAATAAACAGTCTGTAAAGTTTTATGTATTTTAAGAGTTTCTTCCCCACATAATTTTGTTAAAAACATACCGAATCCTTGTGGCTTAGATTTGTCATTTAACATTCACTGTGTAAGAACAAATCAAAACCCAATGGGTTAAAATATCAGGCCATTTTATTTTCTTGAATTCCTATGGATCCACATGTTGGGTGCAGTTAGCTGGGCAGTTCTCATGCTAGCATTGCCTGGATTGCAAATGCAGCTTTAGTCACCTGGTACCTTGACTGAGGCTGTTGGTTCAAGATAACTTCACTCACGTGTCCTGTGGTTTGTGTACAGCTTTGGAAGACTGTATGTGGTTCATGGATAAAACCTGGAATTATCACCTAAATTACAGTGAAATCCAGTGCCTATTCTTTAGTCTTTTTCTAACTTGAATCTTCTGCCATGTTTGAAACTGCTGTTCATGATCTCCTGAAAATTCTTCTGTGTTAGTCAGTTTCTCTCATGCCCTTACTGATGGTTTTTTCTCTTTTTCCCGGAATTCTTCTCCTTTCTTCATAACATAGCTCATCAAAGTGCTTCATTCTGGGTGCTGTTCTTCTCACTGTGCTCTTCTTGACTGAGTTAGTCCTCTGTAGTTTGCACTCTTGGTTCTCTTTAGCTTTTTTCCCTTTTGTATTACTTCCCTTTTCTTTGGCTCATAGGTTGAACTCTCTGTTGACTGCTTTTTGTATTTATTTAAAAGGCACCTTAAGGCCAGTGAATCTGAAATGAAAATGACGTCTACTTCTTTTCTCTTGGATGTGATATCACTACCATCCTGCCAGTGACCCAAGTCAGTGAAATGGGATTTTTCTTGGATTCCTCCCTGTTTCTTCAGTCTAATCTTTTCTGGTGTCAATTCCTGCTGCTTTTGTTTGCTTGTTCTTTTCATTTTATTCTAATTTCTGTATACACTGCCTGTATAGGGGGGAGGAGGTGTTGGTACTTATAAAGAGAGTAACTGTGTTCCACTGGAAATATTCTTGTAAGAGACTGAAGGGTGTGTTTCCTGGGTGATGAGGTTCAGTCCCTGGTGACCTGTGCTTCTAGTCAGCATGTGGTGACATCCTTAGGAGTCTGAGGGGAGAAAGCCTTTAGGAGTTAATGGGACACGTTTGATCAAGAGCCAACAAAAAAGGTTTGCAAAGAATAAAATAGAAATGGCAAATTTTTATAATTTGTATATTTTCCTTCTATAAATTGATGTTGGTGATTCTATGTGTAGATTTCTTACTGAACACTTGTCTGTTTCTAGTTCAAGAAGACCCATCATGTATTTAAACTTTCTTACAGATTGTATTTTATTACTCCTATTTTGGGTAATCACTTAGAAATGAATGATAAAAATGGATGTGTGCATTAGTCATCCATATGTTTATAAACTAGAACTGTAGCTAACAGTTTGTTAAGGAAAGTGACCAAGTAGTTAACTGAAAGATTACATTCTCAGTTAGTGTTTAAGATATAACAAAAGATGTGAAATGGTGGCTTTATTTATTTTGAACCTCATGTTCAGTGTGACCCTGCATGCTTCCTGTTGCATTCAGAGTACTGTCTATGGTCTCTAATGACTTGTTTGGTGTTCCAATGATCAGCTGCATAACAAAGTAACATAAAACTTGCTTACAGTAAGAATTTCTTCCTTACTCCATGTTGCGTTGTTGTGGGTAAATAGACTGTACAGGGCAGTGATAGTTGGCTGCTGCATGATTTGTCTGTTCTCAAGTAGAAGACCACTACTGGCTGAGGACATTGGACAGACATCCAGCCCTCTCTTTGTGGCCAAGTGGAATTCCTCAGATGCTGGCAGTCTCAAAGAAGTCAAGTTTGTGTGGCTTCTTCCAGGGCAAATGTACAAGAGGCCCAGGCAGGGACTGTGATGCTTCTTGTTATCTCCACTCAGATTCCAAACCATGTTTCCCATCACATTCTCTTAGTCAAGTATGTCACTAAGACCAGCCCTGATTCAAGAGGAAGGCAATTAGATTCCACTTCTCAGTAAGGGGAATAGTAAGAATTTCCAGCAATCTTTAAAAGACTACAGTTTTCTCTTTGGCCACAAGTTTCAACCACATGCAAAAACCACATGCAAAATATCTCTTGCCGCTCTCAAGAGCCCTAGAAAACTTCTACTGTTATGCAATTGGGTGAAAACCCAATGAAATCATGTCCAGTGACCTGTTACCTTCATCTCCTCAACACATGGCCAGCTCACAGTGAGGAGACTGGCATAAACTTGTGGGCACTTACTTTCAGACAAGGTAGGTGGGAAGGGGTGGCACCCTGCAGGCACTGGTCTGAGCAGTTAGTTATGACCATTGGACACCTGGTTTAGTTCTTTGATTAGGGCCCTGTTCTGGTCTCTGGAATAGATGCCTCCTGCTTCTGCATGCTGCCCTGTGGGCTCTCACTATTCTCTGTCAATATCTGTTTTTCTTAAATGACTGTGTTTACAGTTGACCAATTTCTTTTCTTTTTTTTTTTCCCCCTTTTTGTCTTTTTTTGTGACTGGTAACGGGATCGCAACCCTCAGTGTCGCGCCCGTAGCGCGACCAGCAATGGTATCACAACCCTCGGTGTCGCGCCCGCACCGCGCTCAACCAGTGAGCAGACCGGTCTCTATATTTCCCCCTTTTTGTCTTTTTTTGTGACTGGTAACGGGATCGCAACCCTCAGTGTCGCGCCCGTAGCGCGACCAGCAATGGTATCGCAACCCTCGGTGTCGCGCCCGCACCGCGCTCAACCAGTGAGCAGACCGGTCTCTATATGGGATCCGAACCCTCGGCGGGAGCGCCGCCACACTCCCAAGCACCGCACTCAACTGAATGCGCCACCGGGCATTCAGTTGACCAATTTCTTTGCCTATTTTTTGGTAATACAAGTTGAAAATCCAGTGACCCTTTAAAAAATATTTTTTCTGATTCTGCCCTTTTGATACAAGAAATTACCCTGTGTACATCTTTAAAAAGCACGGGCTTCCATTGTACTAAATCATTCAACCAATGCTACCTCTGTGTTAAGACTTTTTTTTTCTAGCCTCCCTTTCTCTCTGAGACAACAATTTCTTAAGAAATTTTCTTGTTTATTAGGCACTGTCTGTGTATCTCACCCTATGGTACTTAGAATGCTGGAAATATTTGGGGATTTTGGCTTTTATTTTTTTACAAAACAGTTTGATTCTTGCCACAAAGTAGTTTCTGTGCTTGAAAATATTTTCTTGGAAAAAACTTGGATTGAAAAGTAGTTTTATTTCAAACTCATCAAATTCTGGCTCCTTTTTATTTCCTTTGAAAATTGAACATCCTTCTTTATTTTATTGTTGTTTACTTATTTATGGGTGTATGGCTGATGTGGGGATCCAACCATTGACCTTGTTGTTATCAGAACTGTTCTCTAAACATCCCAATGATCTGGCCAGCCAGCCTTCTTTACATTATCTCTCATCTCATATTTTATCAGTGGCAAAGAGAGGAGGCCAGGTCACACTTGTCATACTTTTCCCATTGTTCACACAAGTCTCCTTTGACACAGGCCTCTGAGAGGGTGAGATACCCTTTCCATTTTCCATGCTATGTGAGACAATAGTGTGGCCCACATCCTTCAGTGCTCCATTTATTTCTGGTAATATATTTTGTGCTGAAGCTTCTTTTGGCTAGTATTAATATTTCCACTTAAGCTTTTTGTAATCAGTGTTTGCATAGTATTTTTAATTTTATTTTATGTTTTAACTTTTAGTCTGTGTTTCTCTTTATATTTAAAGTGTATGGCTCTGGATAGCACATTGTTGTATCTCACTTTCCTATCAAATCTGATAATTTTTGCCTTCAGTAGAAGTTTTAGTCTAATTCCATTTCAACTAATTATTAATAGGGTTAGATTTAGGTCTGCCATTTTGCTTTTTTTTGTTATTGTTGTCTCATCTTCCTTTTAATGCTTTACTTTTATGCTTTTCTTTTCCTAAATTATTTTTTTCAGTTAATCATATATTTTTAAATATTTTAGTTTGTTCCATCTATTGCTTTTTAAAATAATTTAATTTTAGTTTTGATAAAGAAAAATACACATAACAAAAAATTTAGCATTTGAACCATTTTTTACCTTTAAGCAGTGTCATGTATATTCACAGTGTTGTGTAGGAGATGTCCAGAACTTTCTTTATCTGGGAATACTGAAATTCTATATATATTAAATGACAACACTCAGTTTTCCCCTTGTAGTGTCTGGCATCCACCATTGTAGTACTTTGGTTTCTAAAAATCTGACTCATATCAGATGTGGGACCACACAATACTTGTGATTTTGTGAGTGGCTTATTTCACTTTGCATAATATTTTCAAGGTTCCTTGTTATAGCATATGTCAAGGTTTTATTTCTTTTTAAGGCTGACTAATATTCCTTTCTGTGTACATGCCACAGTTTATCCATTCATTCATGGATGGACAGTTGGGATACTTGCACCACTTCACTATGTGACTAATGCTGCTATGAACACAGTTGTGGAAATATCTTTTGGAGATTCTGCTATTATTTTTGATGTATACATAGAACGTGGA